GCTGTCAATTTCCATTGTCATCATCCTAGACCCTAAGTCTATATAACATTATGCTATTTCTTATAACTATTCATACTACATCATTACATGGGAAGATCAATCAATATCATGGCAGATTTATGTGGTTGATATGCTTGTTTAAATATAATAGATGTTATTATATGCAGCATGTGTTTTGTGTGCTATTATGTATATAAGAGGTGATACTTATATGTGGTTGATGTGGAAAACATACATGTCAGTTTTAACATATGTTATTACACCTTACTGAACTCCTTTTGCCTATTTCAGCTTTCCTACTTGGGAGGGGCTCTTCTGGGAGAAGGCATCTGGTTTTGAGGAGTCAATGAAGTATAAGAAGTTGACCAATGCACAAAGATCTGGGCTCAACCAAATCCCCAATCGTAGGTTTACTCTTTGGTGGTCACCTACCATAAATCGTGCCAATGTTTATGTCGGTTTCCAAGTGCAGCTAGATTTAACTGGAATCTTCATGCATGGCAAGATTCCGACCTTGAAGATTTCACTGATTCAGATATTCCGTGCTCACTTGTGGCAGAAGATTCATGAAAGTGTTGTCATGGATCTCTGTCAGGTTTTGGATCAAGAGTTGGATGCATTGGAAATTGAAACAGTGCAGAAGGAAACAATACATCCCAGGAAGAGTTACAAAATGAACAGCTCCTGTGCTGACATTCTTCTGTTTGCTGCTCATAGATGGCCAATGTCGAAACCTAGTCTAGTAGCTGAGCCAAAGGATGTGTTTGATCAGAAAGCTAGCAACAAGTACTGGATAGATGTACAACTCCGTTGGGGTGACTATGATTCCCATGATATTGAGCGTTACACCCGAGCTAAGTTTATGGACTATACCACCGACAACATGTCTATCTATCCTTCTCCCACAGGTATGTTGTTTTTCCGGTTGCGTTACTACTTCACATATTTGTATCTGTCTTTTGTAAATGTAATCGTGATTGTGTTCCATGCAGGGGTGATGATTGGTCTCGATTTGGCTTATAATTTGCATTCTGCATTTGGTAACTGGTTTCCTGGGTCAAAACCCCTGCTTCAGCAAGCAATGAACAAGATCATGAAAGTATGTTAATCATAACAATTGAATTTTTTATGCTACCTTCTGATTACATCATAATTTGTACAGAAAGCAGCAAACTAATTGTTCGTCATGTGCTTGCAGTCAAATCCAGCCTTGTATGTGCTGAGGGAGCGAATAAGGAAAGGATTGCAGCTCTATTCTTCTGAGCCCACGGAACCATATTTGTCATCCCAAAACTATGGAGAGATCTTCAGCAACCAAATTATTTGGTTTGTTGATGACACAAATGTTTATCGTGTTACGATACATAAAACATTTGAAGGAAATCTCACTACAAAACCCATCAATGGAGCTATTTTCATATTCAATCCAAGGACTGGTCAGCTGTTCCTGAAGGTATGCTTTCTATTTTTTCTTCTTTCTGTGATATTTTGAAATTAACTTCTCTCTCTCTCTCTCTCTCTCTCTCTCTCTCTCTCTCCCTCTCTCTATCTCTCTCTCTCTCTCTCTCTCTTTTTCTTCTTTTTCTCTCTCTCTCTCTCTCTCTCTTTCTCTCTCTCTCTGTGTGATGGTTTTGAACTTCATATTTTGCAGGTTATCCACACAAGTGTCTGGGCAGGACAGAAGCGTCTTGGTCAATTGGCCAAGTGGAAAACAGCTGAAGAAGTTGCTGCACTTGTGCGCTCTCTGCCTGTTGAAGAACAGCCGAAGCAAATTATTGTGACTCGTAAGGGAATGTTGGATCCATTGGAGGTTCATTTGCTTGATTTCCCCAACATTGTCATAAAAGGAAGTGAGCTGCAGCTTCCTTTCCAGGCTTGTCTGAAGATTGAGAAATTTGGTGATCTGATATTGAAGGCAACTGAACCGCAGATGGTTCTGTTCAACATTTATGATGATTGGTTGAAGAGTATTTCATCATACACTGCATTCTCCCGACTAATTCTGATTCTTCGTGCACTTCATGTAAACAATGAGAAGGCGAAGATGTTATTGAAGCCTGATAAAACAGTCATTACTGAGCCACACCACATCTGGCCTTCTCTTTCTGATGATCAATGGATGAAGGTAATTTCACTGTCTTCATTTTGCTTGATGATGCTTTGCTTTAGATGAATGTTTTTTTTTGTCCCATCAGAGTTGCTACGATAAACTCTAGTCAGTTATCTGTTACTTATTAAGATGGGTCAAAGAAATTTTTAAATGATTTTGATTTTTGGTCTTGAAAGGTTTAAAGAAGTTTCATTGGAATTGCTTTTTAATTAGCTTGTTTGGGTTTTTGCTGTTTTGGGGGCTAGGGGTGCTATTTGACTCTTTTTGTACTTCTACATGAATCTCCAACGGTATAAATATCTCTAAATATGGTGCAGGTTGAGGTTGCTCTAAGGGATCTCATATTATCAGACTATGCAAAAAAGAACAATGTGAATACATCGGCCTTGACACAATCCGAGATCCGTGACATTATACTTGGAGCTGAGATCACTCCACCTTCTCAACAAAGGCAGCAGATTGCAGAGATAGAAAAACAGGTGATGTTTCTTTTGTGGTGGTTTAAATTGTGATGCACACAGATGCACACATACATGTGCAGACATGTTTTGTGTTACTCTGTTACATATGTAGACCATTGTTTGATGTTGTTATAGATTAACTTATATAAAATGCTGAATTTGTATTTTCAGGCTAAAGAAGCCAGTCAGCTGACAGCAGTCACAACAAGGACTACGAATGTGCATGGTGATGAACTCATTGTCACCACTACGAGTCCCTATGAGCAAAATGCTTTTGGTTCCAAAACTGATTGGCGTGTCAGGGCAATATCAGCCACAAATCTATATCTTCGTGTCAATCATATATATGTGAATTCAGAAGATATAAAGGTAGGGTTCTATCTTTAGTAATTTGATAGTTTCTATGCTTTGCTGCTATTTTCTTTGCGCTTCTTATTTGTTGACTGACGTGGAGCCCAAATGGTTTTACAGGAAACGGGTTACACCTATATTATGCCAAAGAACATTTTGAAAAAATTCATCTGCATTGCGGATCTGAGGACACAAATTGCCGGTTATTTGTATGGGATAAGCCCTCCTGACAACCCTCAGGTTAAGGAGATACGTTGCATTGCCATGGCACCACAGTGGGGGACCCATCAGCAAGTTCATCTTCCATCAGCTCTTCCTGAGCATGATTTTCTCAATGACTTGGAACCTTTGGGATGGATGCACACGCAGCCGAATGAGCTTCCTCAGCTTTCTCCACAGGTATGTTTACGTGACTAATGTTTCAGTCCTTGTTATCTGTTGTCATATTTGTCTTTTCCTGTAGAGGAACGTGATAGACAAGAAATAACCCATGTTTAATGTTGTCTTGCAGGATCTCACCACTCACGCAAAGATTTTAGAGAACACCAAGCAATGGGATGGGGAGAAATGCATCATCTTGACCTGCAGTTTCACTCCAGGTTCCTGCTCGTTAACTGCATACAAACTTACTCCATCTGGTTATGAGTGGGGACGTGTCAACAAAGACACCGGAAGCAATCCTCACGGATACCTTCCCACTCATTATGAGAAGGTCCAGATGCTTCTCAGTGACCGCTTCCTTGGTTTCTATATGGTAAGACTAGTGCATTAACCTCTGTTTGGTTATTTATGAAATTATTGGATGGTTTCCATTCTTACTGAGGGATCTAATTTGTTTAATTGCTGCTTGGTTTTCAGATTCCGGACACTGGGCCATGGAACTACAACTTCATGGGGGTGAAGCATACGCCTAGCATGAAGTATGGCATCAAGCTTGGGACCCCTAGGGAGTACTATCACGAGGACCATCGGCCGACCCATTACCTTGAGTTCAGCAACTTGGAGGAGGGTGACACAGTGGAGGGTGATCGCGATGATACCTTCACATAAATGTTTGTTCTGGCATGTAACGCAGCCTTTTTTGTTGTAGCAATCCATTTAGCAATTAATATGCTTGTGCACCTGTAAAGCTACTAGTAATGTTCATGTTTTTAGACGAGGCCTGTAAATATTTGATCTAGAGGCAAATTACAAGTTTTGTTGCCGAAAATATGAATTTTATTGTCATACTCTTCTCCCTTTCTCCTTGAGTTGGGAGGCAGAATCCTTGTATTACAACTATTCACTAATTTCTAGCCAAGTTTAGAAATATGTGCACGTGTCTTTGGGGATTTTGTCATGCTTTCTGTTTTAGAAAACAAAAACTGAACGCTTTGTTATAATTAAATTTTAACACACTGGTTTATTTGCTGTTGGCATTTACCTCTTGCCTTGTTTTGGAGCTTCAGTTATGCAAGTTCCTTACAATGTGGGGGTTTTTAAATAGTGATAATTTCCTGCATGGGCTTAGTCTGGCTAGAGTATATGTGCTCCTTATTGCACCCAGGGCAAATCCCCTTTTCCGTAATTTAGAATAGTTTGAAGTAGATTATAGCTTGTATAAAAATTTAAAAAAGAAAAAAAAGAAAACTGATAATTTTCCTGTCTTCCTAAAAAGCCAATTAAAGCCATTAAAGCCATTTGGCAAAAGTTTTAACATTATAACTTCCTGTGGACTATAGAAGTCAGTTTTACGATCTGAGGATACAAAAAATCTAGGGAGTTTCACTAAAACACCCAAAATGGGGGTTGAAATTATAAAAAAACCCAAGCACTATTTAAACATATAAACACACCCAAAACCCATCATTACACACACTCAAAACCCATTTATAAACACACCCAAAAAGTTGACTTTGGGGTTGATTTTGGGTGTGTTTCTATGTTTAAATAGTGCTTGGGTTTTTTTATAAATACATGTCTAGGATTGGGTTTATTTATAAATTTGTAAAAAATCTATGACTTGAGAAAACTTTATAAAAATGCACTTTTCTCAATCTTTACATATTCTTCTATCTACCGAAATTGTCTGCTTCTAACTAGCGGTATAATCTCCCTGCATAAGATGATGTGCTTGAAGGGCTCCTTGGGCTATCATATCCATATTCCGAAAGATGGCGATCAGACATCACATCCTAAATTGAGAAAGAACAAACAAACAAACAAAATGAAAAAAAACACACTTCAAGAAAATATGCAAACAAGAAAAAAAGAAAAAGAGAATGTTGTGCTGTTTGTTAGGTTTATGTTATGCAACTTACATGTATTGGTGAGAGTGCTCCATTACCCCCAATCATGAAGGGATTCATGCAATCTTCAGCGATTTCTCTCAATCTGTTAAGCTCAGGGAGCACAACCTTCGCAAGATCCGGCCTGTCTTTTCTCCGCATTTCAGTGCACTGTAAAGCTAGCTTGGCAAATTTGAAGGCTTCCTCAACAGGCCAGTCAGAAACTGCAGGGTCAAGCATCTCAGTGAAGGTCCCATTCTCAATGGCCTCCTCAACAAGGTGAGCCAAACCCATTGGTGGCCTGGCTGTTATTAGTTGCAGGAGCAGCACCCCGAGTGAAAATATATCAGATTTTGTTCCAAGCATGCCGGTTGTTTGATACTCTGGGTCGATGTAACAGAACGTTCCAGCCATTGATGTTGTGCGGTATTGAGAGACACAGTTGGCTACTGATGCAGGGACAAGCCTGGCCAAACCTACATCACTGATCTTGCTCACATAGTTGTGGTCTAGTAAAATGTTGCCAGGTTTTAGGTCCCGGTGCACAACTGGTTCGGGCTTGGTTTGATGAAGAAACAAAAGTCCAGTCCCAATTTCTGCAGCAATTCTGAACCTTAGCTGCCAAGGAATCACTGGGGTGTTGCCTCGCTGGAAGAGACGGTCTTCTAAGCTCCCTTTAGCCATGTACTCATAGACCAGACAACCATACTCTGGGCAGGCTCCGACAAGGAGAACCATGTTTGGATGCCTAATGCGGCTCAATACTTCAACCTGCATAATTAGGGCCTGTTAGATATGTCTATAATGATATAAACATGATCACCACAAATAGCATTTCTATTGGAGCATTTCTATTTGCATAGTTACAACACAGATACCTCTTTCTGGAACTGTGACCGTCCTTGGGCTGCATCTGGACGCAGAACTTTTATTGCCACTGGCGTATGGTCCAGTTCACCTCTGAATACTGGACCATAGCCTCCTTCCCCAATCTTGCGAGCTGGGGAAAATTCATTTGTTGCCGCTTCAATATCTTCAATTGTGTATTTCCTGTACCTGAGACCGTCTAGTGATTTCTTCCTCCCTTCATATTTTCTAAGAGCTTTCATTTCTGCTTTCCTCCTTTTTTCTGTTTCCAGTTGTGCAATCCTTTCAGCTGCTTTTGCTGCCTCTATGGCTGCCCTACTTTTTAGTTTCTCCTTCTGTGCAAGTGCAAATGCAGATTCCTCAGCTTGTCGCGCCTCTTCTATTCTACACTCTCCTTTCAATTTCCATTGGTGAAATTCCTTTTCCTGTGAAGATATGTCATTATAATTCGTGCTTGAATTGTTGTTCAAAACCAATATCTTTTTTTCATTGACACCAAATCTTAGACAAAGTCCATATTCTTATAAGAAGTAGCATCGATACCTTATGTTTTGCTGTAACTGCCTCCTTGCAGGCCATACTGTACATCTCCATTGTTTGCTTGAGCTCTAGCCTGAGCCTCCGCATCTCATTCTCCATTTCATCCTATTATTTTCAAGGCAAACTAAGTATTAATATTCTGAAATTTTTCTGCATATATGCACTACGTAGGCTATTGTAGTAAATGGGTATCTTAATGCAGTCATGGCATAGAACTCATTCAAAACTATGGCACTTATTGGTCATTTTAGATATATCAGTTATAGAAGCAACAATATGGGAAAATCTAACCCTAAACTTGCTCCTAACTCTAGGAATTTCTGGTACACATTATTTGACCACAAGCTTATAGTTGGAGGCATGCTCGAAAGCTTTGTAGGTTGGTGGTGTTTCCATGTTTACTATGCTGGGAAATTGTCTTACCCTGCTTGTTGATGACCATGATCTTCCACTTTCAATTGAGGACGATGAGAATTCATTCCGTCCAGAGCTCATGTCAATAAACTTGATTCCGGAGTGAGATGACGTAGAGCTTCTGTTGTCTAACTCTGAGCTGATTGAACTTTGATAGGTCATTCTTGATGCCATACTAGGAAAATTTGACATGAGATCCGTGCTTGGCCTTTCACTGCTCACCGACAACCTATCACTCTCTGGCAAGGCCTCATATGATTTGTCTATTATAGGTATTGCTCTTGTTAATGGTGGCCTGCATTATTTGTATTTGGTTAGTACTCTTACTAACAGTATATATTCAGAATCAGTTTAATTCAATCAGAATCAGCGCTTACTTGAGTTTAATGTTGTTTAGCTTGCTACGGGTTGAAGATTGTGTTTTCTCTGATTCTGCATCAATCAAAGAAACTTGAGTCAGGTAATGGCAAAAATTAACCACATACTTGAGTGGTGGGAAATAAAATGCAGCATGATGCTAGAACTAGAGGAAACAAACCTCTGGACTGCAGGTTGTGCAGCATGTGTTGTGTATCATTTGAACCATAAACTTGGCTTGGTTGCTGCTGTACTTGATTATGCAGGGGAGGCTTTGGGGTTAGACGGCCTGTAGCCGGTCGCGAATGTGTTATCTTTCCTCTGCCAATGACATATACAGTGCAAAAGTCTGGTGCCCCTTTTGACACAGTGCTTGGAATGTCTTTAGTTTTGAATCTTTTTTTTTTGGTGGTGAAAACAAGAAGAAGATTGATATAATTAGGACATGTGGAAGAAGAACTAACTAGGGTATACAAAAAAGAAGATTTTCTACAAGTAATTATTAATAAATAATCACCTGAGAAATCCAAAGGTGTTTCTTGATGGTGCACCAAGTACCAAAATCTCAATTGAATTAGCCGTGACGAAGTTGATTAGTGCTTTTGATATATCAGCATTCTCCAGTATGACTTCATTCCAATGAATCTGCAGCAACAATGGATGGGGGAAAAAATATCAGATCACAAGGAGATTTTTTATTTTTTATTTTTAAATCATGTTTGAATAAATTTAAGACGCATGCATTTACGCACAGCCTTTTTGGTGCAAAAGCAACGGAATGGGAGGATTAAGTCTTTGGCTTCAGCATCAACTTGGTATTTGTTCATCTTTGCAACCTCCCTCGGCAGTTCTCCACCTGCAACATAAGATGAAAGAAACCAGAGTGAAAATGGGGTTATTAAGAGAACCCAATGAGAGAGAGAGAGAGAGAGAGAGAGAGAGAGAGAGAGAGAGATACTTTTAGATTTGTTGGGAAGGGCAGGAGCAGCAGTTGGTTGCTTAACATGGACCAAAGTGAGGGATTGGCCAGGCCTGGTGAGAAGATGTTCGGCAATCCATTTGATAGCATATTCACTTCCTCTATCCTTGTCTATTGCCAATGCCACAGCCTCTTCTCTCTTTTCTGCTTGCCTTCTTATTCCCATTTTCTCTTGATCATAAAATTGCTTTAACTTAATATAAAATTTTCAACAACAAAAATAGAAGAAGTTTGTATCCAGTTGAGATTACCAAATTCCTTATTAAAAATAAATTCTGTTGAGCAGAAAGTGTTTGAGAAATCTCAATTAGGCATCACAAAAGTCTGAGAGAATTCTCAAAGTTGCTTAATTTAGAAGCTATAAGCTATTTTGGCATTGTTGAGGAGCTGTTAAACTGATTGTAAATGAAGAGAAGTTGAAGTGTAAAACAGAAGTTGACTTATCAGGGGTGGTGGTGCCAGAAAATATCAGTTGGGAGCTGTAGGGAAGTCCAAATTTGAAAACTTAAATTGATTTTTTCTACTGTAAAATGATTTTTGTTTCACAGTAGAATCAATGGCAGGGGGGAATTGTTTTTACTTTCTACTTTTAGTTTTTAAAAACAAAATGGTATCCTAACTTTAGACAACGTAAAACGACAATGGCATCCTAGTTTTTTGACACAACTAACAGTAAGGATATGTGGGTGGAATAAAGGAAATTCGTCGTGTTCAGTTTGATATGGGTGGAATAAAGGAAAGTCTAAACTTGAAAGTGCTTTCTAAAAAAGCACCTAACAAGAATAATTTTTTTTTACAAGAAATCTTGTAGATTGCATTGTGGAAAGGAGCTAGAATGAAAACTATTCATGACAGTCCATCTAAATTCCAAACCATTCTGATAAACTATATAAGCCCCCGAACCCTACTTAGTCAATTCCCGTATAAATACACGTATGTACATATTTTTTACAAATATTTTCATTTTTGTGAAGTGTTCAAGATACGGTGAAAACACACATTTAAAAAATAAATTAATTAAATACCATACATGTACTGCATATTAAAAAGTGTAAATAATTGACAATAAAATACTCTATTAGGGTTGAAATTTTCACCATGTTTTTATGGGTGGTGATTTTCCTACTTTCCTTTTATCCACCTACACTCTCTTTTGTTTTTCTAAAATACTTTTTACTATAAGATAAAAGGCAATGTAAGTGAACAAAAAAGGAGTGAGAACATAAAAGTTTAAAAAAATTGAGTGTAAGTGGGTAAAAGTGGAGTGGGAAAATCAGTATATAAGAAATATGCAGAGAATGATAAAACATTCAAAATACCAAAAATTACTCTTGGTTAGTGAATTTATTAAGAAGTGAAATTTTTCATTAAAGAATGATAATATAATAAATTAATAATTTTTCATATTAATTTTTTCAAATCAAAATAATAACCGAACTCATTTTCTCTTTCTTAGTTCTAAAATGAGAAAAACAAAAATAAAAATTCAATTGACGCGTGTGTGTCAAGAGTCTAGTATATATGTTCATTTGATTCGTATTTTTTCAGTCCCGTATTTTACTATACCTCCCGAAAACTATTTTACAAATTTCATACACAATCTAAGCCCAGCCCATATAGAATAAAAAATACCCGTTGGCCACTTTGAGTCCCATCTCCCACTCTCTTAAATAAGCACGCGCTCATCTTAACCCCGCCACACCCTCCTCTCCTCTCCTCTCTCACACAATAAGAAAGAAGCCAATACGTCACAGGCATAACGGTCTCTCCGCCTTCAAAGCCAACCCCAAACCAAAAAAAAAAAAAAAACCTTCATTTCTTCACTCTCTCTTCTCTGCAACTCCCAAGCTAAAACCCTAACCAGTCACCACTGTGCATTGCATTGCTGCAGACATTCTCACAGCTAACTCTGCAAAACGACACCGTCATCACAATTTCGTGAAATTTTTTGTTCTTCTTTTTCTATTATATTCCGGTGAATCCCAACACTCTCTATTTTGGTCGACTCCAAATCCTCCATGAGTTTTTTTTTTTTTTTTTTTTTTTTTTTTTTTTTTTTTGTATTTTCAATTTTTGTTTTGATCGGATTTCTAAACTCTATAAGCAAAGTGTGGTTAAGCTTGAATAATTGCAGTGGTTGCAGTAGAGAATGAAGATTTTGAATCTGATAGAGAGGCGGTGTTTGGCTTCTCTCAAGCGAGACGACGTCGTTCGTGTGAGTGATGCGCGGTCCTTCACCAACCACCACTCGTACAAGAAACTCCCTCAGCTTCCGCTCCTCAAGCTCTCCGTTCTCAAGCTCGATGGCTCTGTTTTCGGTAACTTTTTTAAAAACTTCGTTTCTCGTTTTGACTTTGATTTTGGGAAGCTGCTTTTTGAAATGGAGAAAATCTGCTTTTGGAAAAAGCTCTTTTGGTTAGAATGAGTATCTAGGAAACAACATCTACATAAAGTTAAACCTTTCTTGCATCTCTTGTCTTATGCTAAAATTATTACCCAAAATGTCTTTTTCCTTTTCTTTTTCTTTTTTGGTCAAAATCATGGGGTCCATTATCACTCACCCAAGTTTCTATTTACCTTTTATGGATTTTAGGAATTTTATTATTTGGGTTGTTTGTAGAGTTAATGGGATTTCAATTCTACAGAAATTCATGTTGGGAGGACTGCTACAATAGCGGAGCTCAAACAAGCAGTAGAAGAGTTTTTTGGTTTGTTGGAAGGCAAGATTCCATGGTAAACTGTCTTATAAAATTATTTGTAATATGCTTTCTTTGGTGCTTAAAATTGTTTCTCACATGTAAGCCTATTTGATTTGCTCTCAGGTCACTAGTTTGGGGGCATTTCTGCTTGTGCTATGTAGGTCAGAAGCTAACCAATGAGAAGGCGTACATTCGAAACTTTGGAATCAAGGATGGAGATCAAGTATGTGCCACATTTTCCTTTTGAAAATATCAAATCTGTTAATGAACTTATCTAGTATATAATATACTTTTTTGGATACAAGAGTTTATGGATGACTTCTATACCATTTTAAACCAAATTTATGCTATTATTAACTCCATTTGTTGAAATGTTACAAGAATCGTATGTGCGTTCATAGTTCAAACTCCGATGGTGCAAGGAACACATTGTTCCAACTCATTGCTTTATTGTTTCTGATTGCTTTCTCTTAGGGGCATATGTGTGTAACATATGTACCTGATTGAATGAAGGCTAGATGGAAACACTGATATTCTGACAAATATGATATAACTAATTAGGAACACAAACATGATGATCAACTTGTATACCATTCCATTTTTTGCCTTGTTTTTTATGAGAACTTTGATGAAGATTTGAAATAAAATAACCTTAAAGGGGATTGAGATACACATAGACATGCTACACAGTATAATTAACTAGAACTCATGCTTCTATTTGAATGACAAGGCATACCCTAGCATACATGTTGCATACCCTAGCATACATGTTGCATTTATGTTTGATCCACAGTTCAGCCCTTTTATATTCCATGTGTTTATGCTCTCTCTGGATGAAGCAAGCAACGGCAATGTCTAATGTCGATATTTTTGTGTATGCTGTCCACATTAATTAACTTCTTATTTTGCTATTTAGCCAAGTGATGTTATTTCGTGCTTCAATTTGCAATAGCAATGTTCTTCTTATTATGCTAATGTTTGTTTTCTGGTACATGCAGCTTCAGTTCATTAGGCATATGTCCATCAGCAACTCACCATTAAAAAGACGGTCCAAGAGTGAGAGTGTTCCTTACAAACAGCACTCAACGTAAGAATCATTCCCAGGTTTTTCCTTATGATTTATTTAGGGGGAAATGGTAATCAAGTTTAAAGATGCATTAAAGCTATTTAATATTTACCTGAGGCTGGAAAATTCTGAGGGAAATAACGAGAGTAAAACAGGAATAGCCTTCAGCATATTGCTCTCATGAGTTTTCATTTCTTCGTTGTGACTCTTAAACCGAAGTTATTATTCTGGACTCTCCAAATTTTTGTGTACAAGAAATAAAACGTCAGAAAAAAGCTTACTAGAGGCGATAGGCTTTATAGAGTTGGTTAATTGAGGTGGGATCTTGCAAAAATTTCCACATTTGATTTGTTTTTTCTCTGTGCACTATTATTCTTCTTTTGTTTTCTTTGTTCTTTATTGTTCATAGATGCATAACTGAGAAAGGGACTACTGGCTTTTGACTTAAGGTTGACATATGGATCAAATGGACACGAGGATGAAGAAAAGAGTGGTTTGGAGGGTTCTGACAGCAATGCAGTTCATGAGGACAACTCCAATGTAGATATGGAGGAAGGCCCTGTGCCTCAATTCAAGGTGGTTCACTACTTGAGTGGGTGGCTCTCGTGCTCCAAGGTCATGGTGGGTCTCAAAAAAGGGATCCGAAGACAGGGTCCATCCATCGAAATCCAGGCTATTAGGAAGCTGATCTAGAAGGGTGCAACTGTAGGGTAATTAGCACAGAATCCACTTGGAAAGTTTGAATTGCCATGGCCTGTCCTAGCTAGGATGTGTTATTTGGCTTACATTTTGTGTTTGTGAAGCTATTCCATGCCAGATGCTCCACAAGTTCAACATCCAGCTTCTATGTCTAGGTAGGATTAAAAGAAGAAACATTGATGTTGGACTTGTTTATTGTAAATGTTAATTCGGTAAGATCCATGTCGATAATTTTAACTCTTCTCCCTTTAACCGATCGTGAATGGAGGAAATATTAATGGTAGAAACAATGACTCTGTTTTTCAGGGTAAAAATGCTCATGTTGATGTGGTTTAAATCAAAATGTTTTTTTTCCTTTGTTGACTTGTGATATAAGTCACTAGTAACTTTTACTGTTAGAAAAAATAAATATTAGGTTAAACCAAATATATCACACCTAATTTCAAGTTTCAACTAAGAACACTGTGGGTTGGACAAAATGGAATTAAGTTGTAGATATCAATAAAATTATTATATATTTTTTCTTTTAACAATGTCGATATTCTAAATTATTCTAATATTCAAGCAAACTACCTTAACCAAGATGCTGACAAACCAAGTAGAGTGGTTTTTTTTTTTTTTTTCCTTTGCATGATTACGAATTATGAGAAAAGGCCAAAAAAGAGAGAAGAATTATGAAAAATCCCAACAAGTAACCAAAAAATGTGTGCCCCACAATTAAGTATCTTCAATATTTTAAGTGGTCCAAGATTTTGGATAATTGATTCAGAATCCTAACACGAGTCATACTACTCTTTGCATAATTTCTAGTGACGTGTCTGGACAAGCAGCTTCCACGTGGGGCTTCCGATGACTTGGCGATCAGGTAGACAGGCGGCACAGAAGATACCATATCCCCTATGGTAATTCCAGTTCTGTTCTCTTCTTCTTCTTCTTCTTCTTCTTCAACTCTACTCGCATTCGCATATATCAGAAAAAACCAAATTAATATTTATTAAAAAGAAAAAAGAAGAAGAAATTTGTTGGGTCCGTTCGAGTTTCATTCCTGGACGTCACAGAGTCTCCCTTTCTCTCTAGTCTCTGCTACTGGTATGTTTGTGTATGTTTGTTTGCTGAGAAACTATTGGAAAATAAAAAGAAAATAACTGTGTGTTTGGATTAAACAACGGAAGAAAGATAAACGGAGTGATTCTACTTTTCAATTTTAATTTTGTTCTCATTTCCTTCCTTTTCGCATCAGGCAAATGGGTTTGGCTAGCTCTGTACAATTATCGTTGTTAATTCCATGTGTTTTTGTTTCCATTTGGGCTGTGTGGATGGATGCATAGATATAAACATACAAGTCATCGGAAGATAAATTTTTGCCGCTAAATAGAGTTTCATATGTATCATAATGATTAATATGGAATTTGATGGGTTTTAAATCTAATCTATTAAAACGCACTTTGATTTATGAACTGAATTAGAAAATTTTCTACGTTTTTGTGATAATTGTGAACTTTTATTTAGAAAATTTGGTGGTTCAAGCTTTATCTGAAGGATTCTATACCTGATGACCTTGTTAAATCACCTGTTAATGTTATTTTCTCTTTCTATAGTGAGGACCTTGATTATTTACTGTGAGATAAACATATTAAGGATGCACAAATTGTTGACTTGTAGCTTTATTTTTCATCTCGATACTTAGCTGATTAAATGGATGAGCAAGTGGGAAAAGCAAAGCCAGCAGTTTCTTTTGAGTATGAGCTCTTTGAGGGGGACCCTGATCACCTAAGAACTGTTGTAGCTACACTCACGCCTACACTCACTCCAACTAGTCCGTGGATCGATCCTGCCTCACTCAACTTTAAGTACCGAATTGGGCGAGGTCCCTTTGGTGATGTTTGGTTAGCAACTCGTCATCAGTCTGCAGAGGATTACGAAGAATATCATGAGGTAGCTGTTAAGATGCTCCATCCTTTGAAGGAAGACGACAGACAGGAGTTTGTCCGCAAGTTTGAAAGGTTATTTTTCAAGTTCCGCAGAGTCTATGGGGTTGGTTGGCTTCATGGTATCTCCATTGTTGATGGGAAGGTGACTGCCTGGATTTTTTATTTTTTATTTTTGGAGTTGTATCTTTTTGTTTTGGTTTTGTACTCTGATATGGGTATAACTTGATTAGTACTCATCTTAATTCCTGGCAGATCTGCATTGCTATGAAATTTTATGAGGGATCAATTGGCGATCGAGTTGCTCAGATGAAGGGTGGCAAGCTTCAACTTTCTGATGTCTTAAGGTTATGTTATTGGGAGTGTATATCTTCTTTCTGAAGCATACAATTGATACAACTGGTGTTATTGACCCAATAATGCTAATGTTTCCAGGTACGGAATTGAGTTGGCGAAAGGAATTCTAGACTTGCACTCACTAGGGCTTCTGGTGCTAAACCTGAAACCTTCCAATTTCCTTTTAGATGAACATGACCAGGCGGTCCTAGGAGATTTTGGGATTCCATATCTACTTCTTGGGATTTCATTGTCTAATTCAGATATGGTTCTTAGACTTGGCACCCCAAACTACATGGCTCCAGAACAGTGGGAACCAGAAGTGAGAGGCCCTGTATCCTTCGAAACGGATGCATGGGGCTTTGGTTGTTGCTTTGTTGAGATGTTGACTGGTGTTCAACCTTGGTTTGGGAGGTCAATTGAAGAAATTTATCATTCAGTTGTGATCAAGCAAGAAAAGCCACCTGTTCCAAATGGTTTGCCTCCTGCACTTGAGAATGTCATAAATGGTTGCTTTGAGTACGATTTCCGCAATCGGCCTTCAATGGAAGATATCATACACGCTTTTGAAAGGTATTCTCTCCTAGTTATGTAATAATCTCACTCACAGTAACCAAACCTTTTTCTCATCAAAACGTAACAACCTGAAGGCAACAAAGTACTTGTCCCTGTCCAGTTGACTGTGTGTAGCCTCAAATTTTGATCCTTTTTATCCTCTTAGCCACACCAAGCCCTATCATCTTTTTACACCTCTTATATCCCTGGCTTGATATTTTCCTTAACCCTTGGCTATCAGTTAACCCATTGATACCAGTTACATTCTTTTGTTTCATCCGAGAAGTTCCTGCTGTTTCACGATTCTGCAGGGCCCAATATTCTATTTCCAAATTACAAATCTTGAATCCCTTTTTAAGCATCCAAAACCTTGAGGACTTAGTGAAATTCACATTGCTTTTCCATACACTATTAATTAAGATTGCAGCTTCAAAGTGGTGCTGCTGTCATAGAATTTGTGACTTTAATTTTCTGTTGGCCTTTTATGTACCAATGAAATAGAAATGAAAAATTCAGTATTTTGATTATCCTGCCTTTTATTTTATTTTATTTTATCTTTGTATGCTGATTATGTGCAACTGAACATGCAGCTCACAAAATGATGCTCAAAGTGATGGAGAATGGCTTGGTTTAGGAAGCAGTACACCTGCTGCAAAATTTAGTAGCAGTGGTTATACTACATGGTATCTCTTGAAAGATCGTCTCCAGGTTGGAGACATAGTTCGCTCAAGGAAGCCCCTGAATGCACGCAAGCCTCAAGCTATGGATGTCCCTGAAGGAAGTGTTACTGGTCTGGAGACTGATTCCGATAGAGATGGTTTTGCCCTGGTGAAGATCCCTGGAGAACGCAACCCTGTAAGAGTACTGGTGTCAACAGTTGAGAGAGTCACATCTGGCTTCGCAGTGGGTGATTGGGTGAGCTTGAGGGGTGAATGCAGGAAGCACTCTCCTGTTGGAATTCTTCATTCCATACAGCGTGATGGAAGTGTTGCAGTTGGATTTATTGGGTTAGAGACTCTATGGAGAGGAAAGTCATCTGACCTTCAAATGGCTGATGCATATTATGTGGGAGAGTTTGTGAGGCTCAAGGCAAACGTGCTCTCTCCCAGATTTGAGTGGCCTCGCAAGAATGGAGGAGCATGGACAACGGGACGGATCTCACAAGTCCTTCCAAATGGTTGTCTGGTTGTGAGGTTCCCTGGAAGGCTGGTATTGGGAGACGAATCTAATAGCTTCTTGGCAGATCCAGCTGAAGTAGAACTAGTGTCCTTCGATACCTGTCCTGGGGTGGTCCAAAAGTATCAACATATTGAGGATTTTCACTGGGCAGTAAGGCCTCTCACAATTGCATTTGGTCTATTTACAGCCATGAAGATCAGCTTATTTGTTGGACGAAACGTAAGTGCAAAGCTGAAGGGTCGAAGAAACTCAATGCGGAGGGATGGGAATAGTCAGGATGGTCAGAGTGGTGGCAATACAGCTTGGCTTCCTCCACCGGTTGTGAATCTTTTCAAAGAAGGTGTTTCTACTGCTAGTGCTAGGTAGTTTACTGTTGTCATCTGGGCATGGGTAAGTTTGCTGAAACCTATCCATAGCAAAGATGAACTCAGGCCAAAATGTACTCATAATCCGAGCGCATATGGGGTGAGACTGAAAAGTGAACTTTGATGGTCGAAAAGATCCGAAAGCTGTTTCGGAACAAAAGAAAAAAATCTGTTTGTAATTAGAAGGATGATGCAATATGTATATATAAAGAATCTGCCATTGCTACTTGCTTTCAGTGTAAATAAATATATATCTAATGTTCTGTGGAAATTCTCCCTCTGTTGCAGTGCAAAAATCTCTGTCTGATTCATATGTGTAGGAAGCCATATAGGTTGAAGCGTTGGCCTAAAACTAAGAGCAACTGAATGGGTTTTTTTTTACCACTTTCTTTCCTTTTTATACCCCAGAAGAAAAAGAAAAAATTTATCCAATTTCCACGCTGGATATTAAAATTTGTTTTCAGTTTTTTTAATCAGTTGTGGAAAAACTGACTCTGAAAGGCCAAGAACTGGCCATCGAGCAAAAGGCCCGGACTAGAGAAATTTCTTGTAAATGACCAAATTAACCCTGGTCGTGTTATAAATTAATGAAATTCAGTGTGTGCTTTGTTGGTATTTCATTTTTCTTCCCTCCAGTTAGTCAGTAGCAGAGGCTTAGCGTTACGGTTCAGTTTTCCGGCTCAGGAAAAGAGAGAGAATCCAAGAAAACCATCAACGTAGAGAACTGCAACACAAAAGAAAAGAGAATGAAGGGGATTTCATCTCAATCCTCCATGTAAGTAGTTCTCTGCCACCTCCTTCTTTTCGCTCTGTTTGGCTTTTTAGAAATAAGAAAAGAAAAGGTGAGAAAATAGAGGATATGGGGCTTGTCACAAAGAACCCAAATGTTCTTTCTGGTTTTCTTTTGGAACTGTTTGGTTGCTGAGAAAATAAGTAAGAACAAGGAAAATGTGGGACTAATGAGAACCCAAATGTTCTTTCTAGTTTTCTTGATGAAAGGACAAATGGGCATGCATTGTTAGGAACCCACGTATTTTTCTTTTTCCCTTGGAATTTCTACAGGAACTACTCTAATGAAGATGACTACGAACTGCAAGAAGAAAATGAAGGATTGTTAAGGAGAGACATAGGAGAAGGTGATTATGCAATTGACGACAGTGCAGAGAAGTTTCAGTGCATGAGCCTTCACAAGCGGGACACCACAAAACGAGGTGATTAAGATAATTATCTCTGATTTTCGTTGGAAATTAAGACAATTAAAATTTATTTTATCAAAGTAGCCAAAACCCATAAATTATAAAATGAGGATGATGTAAAAATTTGAATGCTAGATGTTTCCTCTTGCTTGCTTTCAATCTTTATCTGGGAAGAACAAGAACATTGTATGTTCTTTTATTCAGGACCAAGAAAACAAAAACAAGATTTTCCTGGCATGAAATGGTTATACTTGAGTAGAATAAGTAGTCCTAATTGCGGTAACACATTCAGTCTGAAAAAACTCATGAATGTGAGTCTATGGATCAGGAACATCAAGTGAAATTTTGTTGTAAATGAAATATTTTATGGAAATGGTAAACTATTTCGTTGAATTTCTGGCTCAAGTATTCAATTAGTTCGTAAAAGGCTATTCGTAGTTATAGTATTAAAAGGGAGAGCATAGAGCCTCTTCTGTAAAGACTTAAAGCCACATACTAGAAGACCATGACCACATACACTTTCCACTAAATGCATTCAAATGGTTTTCCTGTATATACCTAGTTTCTGTGGATCCAGCAAGCCAGCTTGCATAACGAGCGAAAATATATTTATGTATATTCAGGTGAAGAGCTATCTTTTCAGAAGAATGGTCTGTGGAGGCAAGAACAGAAGGGCAGAGTTGCCAGGCTAGAGAATTGGCTCAAGGTAAGGTGGGAACTTGAGGAGATAATTGAAGAACAACTGAACAGGTTCCATGCCCACTACAACTTGGATATGGTCCCAACCCGGCTAAAGGGCGTTGCCCAAATCCTCATGCCCAGTTGGACTCCGCCTGATGAGCTGGCCTCCATAGCGTGGCTTGGTGATTGGCGGCCCTCTGCCATTCTGGAGCTCGTGCGTGGCTTGTCCCTCTCCTCCTCCTCCTCCTCAGCATCATCATCATCCTCTTCTTCAAACTCTATTGGCACCGAACAGCTCTTATCACAGCTCATTTATGAGATTCGGATTGAAGAGGCAATACTTGATGAGGAAATGGCTGAAATTCAATCTACATGTATTCTCTACCTTCCATTTGCTCCAACCAACATCCAATCAGGTGGAGCTGCCCTGGCTTGTGTTCAGTCTGAGTTCAAGAAGATTGAAAGGGTGATCACGAGAGCTCAACGACTCAGGTTTGTTTGCTTTCCTTTGATTTTTTTTTTTTTTTTGAATTGGTAACTGTTATAACTTCAAGAAACATGATAGTTCTCGACAACTGTGTTGTAGGGATTTTTCTTCCTGTCTTTGTTAGTTTATTGTTGTGTCGTGGCTTTTCCTCTTTCTATTCCTTATAAGTATCCCCTTCAAAGGAATAAAGGCAAATGCAATTATGACTAACTACCAGATATGTGATTCTGTACAACAGGTTCAAGGCACTGGAATTGGTGTTGAAGAAGGTACTGAGTGAAACCGATGCAGCAGAGTTCCTAGTGGCATTTGAGGGAATTCAAGACGCAATTCACCAGTTTGCAACAAACCAGAGGTTCCAAAAGGGTCCAGTCACGTTGCCTGTCAAGGCCTTGGGGTCTAGCTGAAAACACAGAAGTGTTATGAATTACCACCCAAATCAGAAACAGTCAGTCAAGGCTTTGGGGCCTTTCCAACTTACCATTTTTTACTCAGCCTATTTGTTGCTGATGATACCGTGTCATAGCGTCAGCTCCGACTGAGCCTCTGTGGATTGTGTTGTCTAAACGTTCTCAGCAATTGAAATCTGAGCATGGAGTTGAGTGTGTAATAGAAAATAGTAAGGGGTCGAATTTTGGTGAATAATATAGTTTAGTATTGTGAATGCAGTTTAATAACGTTTACATTCAAACTTGCATGCGGTTGCAAGTAGTTGAACCAAGTTAAAATTTACAAGTCGCTGGTTTCGACTTTATGAAAGCAGTTTCCAGCTAATATTTGGCTGGTAAGAGGTAAGTTGAATAAGATATGAAACTGATTGCTAAATTGCATGGATAGAATTGGGAAAAACTGGAGTTTGTGCCAACATAGGAGCTGGAACTGGGTGGAAAGCCGAATATATGGTTCAAACATACAAGGGATTTCGCCACGTGGTGTTATTAGGATACGTGTTATAATATGAGTGGACAACATAATTAGATATGTCATGCATTAATTAGTAACACCATGTGACACCAAAAAACAATAACCAAATCAAACAATCCATGTGAGTTTAATTTCATTTTTACACTAAAAATTGTGATATTTGACTAAACTAAAATGTAATTTATGGTAATGCCCAATTTGACTTCTTTAGGACATCATCTTAACTGAAAAAACTTATATTAATTTCCTTTATTTTTATTTTTTGAGGAAAATTTTCTTTATTTTTGATACGTGCTTTTGGTGGTCAAGATTTTTTTATTATGGTTCCTCCCACAATTTGATATAACCATTTTAATTGTAAAAAGCTAAAGTTCTTTATCCATTCAATTTAATTGTCGCCCCTCCCTCAAAATTTGTATTTCTTATTTGGCGAGTCATTTGATTTGGCTAAGTTACTAGAACTTTTCCTTTTCCAAAGAAAGAATCTTGTAAGGCTAAAGTTCACATCCGGAGCAAAAATATCAAAAGGCAAGACGATAAGACCTCTATAAGTTATAACCGAGAGAGGTAACTAATTAGAGGTGTCAAACGCATCGGGGCGGCCCGATTAAGTAAGGTCAGGCATGACACTGCTTGTATCTTTAAGCGGATGGGGACGAGATAATTAAACCTAATGGGACAAGTCGGGCCTTGACCTGTTATGGGCCATGCCGGCCTTTTTGAAGTCCATTTATTAAATTTTGTTTGTTTTAGAGAAAAATAATAAATATTATTATTATATTTATATCTTAAATTCAAGCTATTTCTTTTCTCTAATAATATATACTAGCCCCTTGGCACATGCATGATTTTCTTTTTTATTTTTTATTTTTATTTTTGAAATTAAGAAAAGATAACGTAGGTAGTTATGTTCCATAAAAGTAGGACCTATTATCTGATTTCGTTTTTAATTTTAATTTTTTTAATATGAAAAAAATGTGAATTTATCATATTATCCTCATTTAATTAATAATTTCAATTCTTAATGTTTGAATTAACCAATGGTATTTTCTGATATTTGAATATTTCACAATTCTCTACATTTTGCTTTATATATATATAGATTAAATTTTAATATTTTTTTATATATAAAATAATGATTGTGTTTTTTAAGTTTTAATTTTTAAAACTCAAACAATAATCTAGCTATTTTCTATTTACATGTACTTTAAATAAAGTTATTGACATTTTTTTTTTTTATATATAACAAATAATAAATCTTATTATTATATACATAATTGTAAAAAAGATTGTATAAAAAAAAATTGCAAGACATAAGTCAAATTTTGCATGAAATCGCCCCGTTTAGTGGCTAGGCATAAGCACAGCCCGATCCCCTTATGGGGGGCCATGGGCTTGGGCCGGAATTGATTATTTTTCTAAATGAGCAAGCTCGACACGATTTGTTTATTAAATGGACAGACTAAACGGGTTGGCACGACCCGTTTGACACCTTACAATTAATGACATGTTTACTTATTAAGTTATTAAGAATGAGTATTAGAATAATTCCAAATCCTTCTTTCAGTGTATTTACTAACATATACTTAGGGCTTGTTTGGGAGTGCTTCTGGAAGGGCCAAAATCGCTTTCTAATAATTAAAAGCATTTCTGACAGCGTTTGGCAGAAAACTTTAGAAGCGCTTCTTGGAGAAGCACATGCCATGTGCTTCTTCAGGAAGCACTCCCAAGTACTTTCCACGAAGCACTTTAATTTGTTATGAAAATTTAGATTTTTATAATAGAAGTGCTTTTGTTAGAAGGACTTATAAGCAGAAGTACTTCCTAGAGAAGCAGTCCCAAACGAGATTAAAAGTATTCCAATGCCTAACATCTCTCTCACTCACTAACACATAAAGAATAAATAATTATGTGGGTTCCATGCTAAAATTTGTAATCGAATACTCTCAACACTAGAAATTGGTAAAATCATGAATCAAGGAACCAACTATT